AAACATCATTTAGACCGTAACATTTTTTTTATATTCCGTAAAAAACTTAAGTAAGAATTTGAAAATGTGGATTAACCAGTGAACTCAGAACATAAAAGTCGATAGGCACAGACGAGAGAAAGAAGCAATAAAACAACAACATATACATGCTAAAAAGTATTAACACAAATTTGGAAAAAAAAAAGCAAAAAACAGCAGCTGTTTGTTAGTAGCAAGCATTTGATGATATCAGCGAATAGAAAATAGAAAACAAGTAAGCAACTAGCGAAAAAAGACAACAACAAATGCCTTGATATATCGCCAATCCAAAAAGATTACAAGACACCTTAAGTGCAAGGCAGTCGATAATCTACTTTCAGCCATTTAGCATTTTAATGAAGGTCTGCAACACTCAGAGCCATAGATAGTGCAATTGTTCGCAATAAGAATCGATTTTATTTCGTTTTGTACTTTTTAAATTATCACAGTTTCGTCCGCAATAAAAAGTGAATTACCCTATTATTTAAGTGTTAATCTCACTCACGCAAATTTGCATGGATTCAAATCTATGTATGTATGTATGTGGGTATGCATTTTAAAATTGTGACAAGAACTTACTTTAAAGAAATGGATCGATACTCACGTCAATTTTTGAAGGGTGAGGGTAATTATATTCAGCGCTAGATACTAGCGACGATTAAACGATATGACGATAATAGTGTACTGTGTGACAAGATCAGCATATTTTTTTTTAATGAAAATTATATTTATAGTTGGTAGAACGTATATCCTTAGGTATATATTTTACAATTATAGCTTCGCTCCTTAAATAAAAATCTAATAAACATATTATATTTATAGAAAAAGTGCACAGGTATGTACTTAAGTACCTACGCTATCGGTAAGTACAATGATGTTTTCAAGAATAGGATGTGGGATACGGAGAAAAAATTTCTCCGCTACCACTTTCTGCATATTTTACTGTTCGGTAGAATGTAAGAATTGCATAGAAAATTATGAGAACTTGAGATGCCGGTTTTTGCAGATGTTTAAAATTCGGGAATAAACATGTAGCCTAAAATATAATAACTGGTGAAAAAAGTCCGCTGCCGCATCCTGCATATTTATATTCGCTGGGTAGAAATGCCAGAATTGCATGCAAAATTGCATTTTACTGAGCAGCCGGTTGAGCGGATGTGGGTGCAAAAATGTAGCACATTTTCAGGGGCATCATGTGGGATCCGGACCAAAAATATTTCCGCTGGTAATTTCTTCCCATTTATGTTCGCCTGGTAAAAACCTCAGAAATGCACACAAAATTGCATTTGTTCGGGCTAGGCGGAAGGGCGGATGTGTAAAGTTCGGGTCCGGAAATGTAGGACATATTAAGAGGCACCATTTGGAATCCGGACCAAAAATATTTCCGCTGCTGCTTTCTTCCTATTTATGTTCGCCTGGTAGAAATGCCAGAATTGCATGAAAAATTGCATTTTTCCGGGTCAGGCGGAGGGACGTATGTTTACAATTCGGATCCAGAAATGTAGCAGACTTTCAGGAGCATCATGTGGGATCCGGATAAAAATATTTCCGCTGCTACTTCCTGCCTATTTTTGTTTGCCTGGTAGAAATGCCAGATTATCATGCAAAATTACCTCGCTGTGAGCCGGTTTTGGGCGAATGTCGTCGTTCAAATCTAAAATTTTGAAAAAAAAACTGTTATTTGCGCTAAGAGGTAATTTCAAAAACTGCAACCTCATCCAAAAAACTGTAATTTACAATTAAGAGTGTAAATAGGGCAACACAGGTTGTAAGTATAAATATTTAGTTGTAAACTTAATTCTTAACATTTGATTAAAAATATGAACATATTGTAGAAGTCTGAATTATTTTTCGATGTTCCGTGAATGTTTGCTTAACAATTTTGCTGTTTTCATATCAGATGAGTACGCAGTTAAGCTCCATGATATTGTCCATTGTATGTAGTTTCGCTGCTAGCCGATAGCTGATACAGACCACCTGGGAAAATGACGAACCTTGAAGAAAACAAGATGAAAAGATGAAAACTTCTAATTTTTCTTTCCATATGAATTTTTTTTATAAAATCTCTTAAACAATATTTACTATTTTTTTATGGTTAAATATCTTAGCTCTCGGTATGGGTAAAATTTGCGTTAAACCAGCAGAAAATTTGTAACTGCTTCTTGTGTAACCCAGCGGAAAATCTGTAATTGCTTCGTGTGTGTACAAATGAATATTACTGAACTAGTTAGAAGCCATTTCGGGCCTAGCTCACGACTATTCCAGGACCATTTCGAGACTAGTTCAGGACTGTTTCGGAAACACTTTAGGACTGGTTCGGAACCATTTTGGTACTAGTAAGGGATGATTTCGGGACCATTTCAAGACTTTCCGTGATAATTTAGGGACAACTTTCACGACTTTTTCAAGACCACATAAACACTACCCCAGGTATGGTTCCCAATAATTTCGTGGTAGTTATAAACTAGTCATGAAATGAATCTGAAAAAGTCCTGAGCTATTCCCGAAGTGGTTATGAAAATTTTACGTACTAGTCCCGAACAAATTTATAAAATGAAATTAAATTAATGTTTAGTTTATGTATTTATGTATGTACAAGGGCGAAAATATAAATAGCGAAGAGAAATTTTAGAGCTGTTTGGCTATTTTCCTTTCGTTTATTTAACGTTTATTATTTTCTTATGAAAGTGTAGCTCGTTATTTAACAAAAACCATGTAAGTCAAGATTTTAAACTTTGTACAAAAGCTAGCAAAATTAGTCTAAGTTTCATCAAAATTTTGAGCTTTTTAATTAGATTTCTTCTGAGTATGCAGTTTTGTAGCCGATTGAATTTTGGTATTACAAAGCTAAGACTCACCGTTGTTTTTGGGGAATTTTTTGGTGCAAGGAGTTGCTCATTTTCTCCATACAAAAAACCTGTCCCACATTTTTTGTATGGAAGAAGACGCGGGAACAATAAAATTGCCAAAAATCAACGGTAAGTCCTAGCTACTTCATGCATGTAGTATATTATACTAAAATTTAATGGGCTGCATGCTCAAAAAATCTAAAAAATCGGATTAAAAAGTTTCAAATTTTGATAAACATTTGTAAACAATGTTCTACAAAGTTTGCAATTTTGATGTATATGTGATTTTAGGAAGCAAGCTATATTTATATAAAAAATAACAAAAAAAAATTAAAAAAATAGCCAAAATGTCTCTTCCCTACTTACATTCTCGCCACCGTAACTATATCGCCTAATGCTTCGCCAAGCCGTACACAGATCTTTACACATCAAATTTCATGAGTACACTGAGGGAAATAATCAACTAATTAGCAACAAAATTCAAAATTATTCGTTTGCAAATTATGTTTATTTACTAATTTTTTATAATTTTCAGTTAAATTATAATTCAATCTATAAGAGAAACCACAATAATAAAATTTTCAAAGCTTGCACAAATTGCAAAAAAAATTTATCAAACTTTAAAAAGTTGTCCTCAAAATTCTAAAGACTCAACGGTAATAGTTAGCCACTTGAAACTTGCACATTGTTAGACTAAAATTAAATTGGCAATAAAACTGCGTACTCAAAAAAATTCTAACACTTCTGAGAAAAAAATTTGAAATTCACCTGAAAATTTGTTGCATTTTTTTGTAGTATTTTACAAAGTTTAAAACTTGGGTTTATATGGTTTTTTTTTTAGGGAATGAACTGCATTTCAATTGAAAATTCTTAAAAATATATAATTAAACATAAGTGGCAAATAATATCACTTTGAAATGTGGGTGCTTAGATGTGGCCAATACTGTATATCTCGGTAACCGTCCGATCAATTTGTACCAAACTTGGTACGATTATTTTGCTTACCACATAAAAGCAAAACGGTAAAAATTATTGAAATCGGACTAAAATTACTCCCACTTCTCATATAACGATAAATTTCAGAAATTCTTAAAACTTCGATATTTTGACATTTAAAGACGCGAATTTACTCAATATTGACACTAACAACAATCCCTAGAAAAGAATTAACATTATTATAGAATTTCGGGAAGTGGGCGTGATACCATCCACATCTAACTATATAAGTTTATCTCATTAAGCATAACTGGGCATACTATCGAAATTGTTAGAAATAGGGGTAAAACCACCCTTCTTACCATGTAACGGTAGTTTTCAGAAAGGTGAAAAACTATATTTAATACTTGCGCCGGGTATTTAATGTTCGGCTTCACGCGAACTTAGACTTTTTTACTTATTTTGTTTTTATCTTGATTACTCATTACACAGATGCTTTTTCAGAACGAACGCGGTCATTTTAATATGCGCGTAATTGAATTGAATATTTGCCAATATACAGTGTGTACTTTCGTTGATGCTTATAATAAGATGAACTACGTTCATACTCTTAATTTTTGTGCCAGATTTTCTGCGTTAGCGCCCACTGTATCACATGAAATGCTTTCCGATAATCCACTTAGGATCAATAAACGCAAACCACTTTGTTTTTAGTTTATTGCCACTGCCTTTAAATGAGGTTGTCGAGGGTTTAGGCGTGTGATTAGTTGCTAGTTGTTTTTAATACATTGGCATTAGCATTAAGTAACGTATTTTCTTCTTCTCTAATTAGTGTACAATATTTGCTTTTGTTTTTCGTGACTTTACTTATTAATTTGTAAATAATGTTAAAGTTGTAATTGCAACCGCTTTGCGTGTTTCATTGCAACTTACGTTAGGTACGGCTATTTTACTTTTTGTTTTATTGCATTTTCTCAACATTTTATTATTTAAGCACTACTTTTCGCTAATAGTATTTTGGCATTTTCTATTTATTTATTTTTTATTCCATTTTTTTTTTTATTAAGATTCCTTTTTTTATATTGCAGTTTCTTTTTATTTTCATTTGCTTTTGCATTGCATTTCATTACTTTGACATACGTATGGTACGTAGCGCTATACAGTTAGATGTTGGGCGGCAATCGTTGCAATATTACTGTGACAGTTGCTCGTGGCGCTTCAGACGGTGCAATACAAAATCTGTTGCTTCATCCATCTTAATTAGTAATTTCACCTGTTTTTTTTTAGTCTGCAGCAGTGAACGCGTTTCGTACTCTTATTACTGTAAAGAGCGCTGAAGTGTCGAGTGGCAGGTGGATTTTGCATTGTGCGTGTCTTACAACATTCATCAATAAGCTATAAATACCTACAGCTACGCATAGTTTGTTATGAATTAGAGTCTAATTATTAGACGAATACGCATTAAATTGACTTCGATTGGTGTTTCAATTTAAATTTTGTGAAATTTGAAATTGCAGTCAACTAGATAAGCGACTTGCACCAATTTATATATTTGAGTGGATATCGAAATTATAATAACCGGCACCGGCAGAAAAAATAAATAAATTATAATAAAAAAATAATAAAAATAAATATAAAAATATAAAAAAAAATAAAAAATAAAAATAAAATAAAATAAAATAAAGCTAAGTGGCACAGAACTAAACTGACCAATCTACTAATTGAAACGAAACAGTTTTAATTTTTTGGTAAGTGGCCAACGTAAAGGCTAACAGTGTCAATCGAAAAGGTGAAGTATGCGTTGCCAAACTTAAATTAGAAATGTTCAAAAACACATTTAAAATGGGCTAATTTTTAAAGGTGCAGTCATATATGGAAATGCAATTCCTTTTGAAAATGAGGTTTTCTCTCAAAATATTAAAATGAAATTCTATTCTCCTGTATTTAGACCTACAAGTGTCTTTTCCCTTTTTTCGGTAATAATCAGGGAACCGATTTTATGGAAATTGCCTTTTTTCTGCTAAAGAGATAGAGTATATTCGATTAAGAATGTCCACGATTTAGCTTTCCCTGATTCCATATATACACATTTGATGTTGCCTTTTTTGCCTTTTTAATATATTTGCCTTTCTTTTTGCCTTTTTTAAGATATTTACTCTTTTTTGCCTTTTCTACCTTTAAAAAAGTTATTATAGCATTTACAATATTTTTTTAAAGTTTAAAAAATATACGCATGCCCATGCGGCTTATAGAAGCGCAAATTGGTGTTGAAAAAATTCAAAGCCGTTTTCTCAGCTAACGTAGGCTTGGAGACAATAAGGGGTGTGGATAAAATTGTAAAGGGCGAGGAAAACGCCCTTATTCCTGATAATATGAACGTTTCAAACGTTCCATATTTAAATTGGGCGCCGCTTGTATCAACTTACGTCGAGCGCACATTTAGTGCTTTTCTTGAAATGCACCTTGTGGTTCAATGTTACTACAACTATACAGATTAAAGTTTTATGAGTTAGAAACTCGAAAGGATAAAATAGTCAAAGATTCAAAGTACAAATTTTTCATATAATGAAACTAGTTCATAGTTTTTCTCTTTTTACTTGTAATATAAACATTTCTAAAA